TTATATTGAGAGGCCGACCGCGATCTTGGATCGAAAGGTGAAGGTTCTGAGGAACAAGGAGGTGCCCCTGGTTCAGGTCCAGTGGCAGCATCGGAGAGGGTCCGATTTGACTTGGGAGCCAGAGTCAAAGATGCGGGAGCAGAATCCAGAGTTATTTGCAAAACATGACTTCGAGGGCGAAGTCTGATTGTAGTGGGGGAGAATTGTAACATCCGGATTCCCAGGTATGTTATTTTAATTATTTATTTTTGAAGATCATTGATCCACTCGATGAGTTGGTGCTATAACTCGTCGAGTAGAAGCGGGGGTGGCCACATGAGTTTAATGAACTACTCGACGAGTCCGAGAGTAGACTCGCCGAGTAGGCGCTGTAAGTGGAAACCCTAGATCCCTAGGTTTGGGACCTATTTAAAGGAACTTATGGCCTCATTTGCGGCCACACCTCACTGAGAAGAAATCCTAATCGCCTCCTTGAGCTTGTGAGAGAGTTTTGAGCCTTACTTAAGATTTGTGAGTGCATTTTGGTAGAGGAAAGGAAAATTCCAAGCAAGGATTTTGAAAAGACTGATAGATCTACTGCTTATACGTCCAAGAGCTTCTATTAGAGGTATCAAGTTCGAACCTTTCTCTTTTATTTGAGTAGATCTCTCATTTTGAATATTAGGGCTTCTTTTCTTTATATTTTGGGACTTTGAGGATTTGGGGTTCATGAGGAGGCTTGAGCTCCAGATCTGGACCTTAGGAGGTCTCTAGCATCTAAAGGTTCCTGCTTTATTCAGCCTTGATGGAATTTATGAGTGAAAAACCCATTTAGATCATGTTCTTGGCATTTCATGCCCAAAATGCCATGCATGGACGTAAAGTCTATGACTTTACGTGGTAAATGAGCCCTGAGAGTATGGATCTGGAATTTGGGAAAGTATCCTGCCTTAAAGTCGTCTGAATGCAATTTGAGTCTGAATGGACTCGACGATTTGATGAACCGACTCGTCGAGTAGATTAGGGTTGTCCCGATTAGCTGGATCAGGGGAGAGCTCGGCGAGTTAGGGGTTGAATCGACGGGCTGGACCTTCATGAGATTGTCGAGAATCGATGGGACTTGACGAGTCGCACGAGTGCACTCGGCGATTCTGGTCAATTTGGACTATTGACTGGAATTGACTTCTGTTGACTTAGGGGTTGGTCAAATGAGTGATGAGGGTCAAAAAGGGGTAAAATGGTCTTATACCCATTTCTAAGACTAGAGTGTAAGAGAGAGCAACGTTTGGTGTAATTGAGTATATAGAGAGAATTAATTAGAGATATTATCCTTATGATAGGCAGAGGCTAGATCGAGGATTCCGAGCACGAGACTTTTACTTACCAGCTTACGAGGTGAGTCTTCTCACTATACGTTACCTATAGTGGTATCTATGTGTGACCAGAGGGTCTTATGTGATTATTTGAGTACTGTGATATTACTGCATTATGTCTGTGTGATTTATGTTATGTGTTATTTAGAGTTTACAGAGTTAGGACCGGAGGGTCCATAGAGTTAGGACCAGAAGGTCCATCAGAGTTGTGGGACTGGAGGGTCCCACTGAGACACATTGACCGGAGGGTCTTACAAAGTTATAGCCTCGAGTGGCTAATATGTTGTATGTGGTATTTTGGGGAACTCACTAAGCTTCGTGCTTACCGTGTTATGTGTTTCAGGTACTTCCGATGATCGCGGGAAGGTCCCGGCTTGATTGTACACCCACATTCACTTGGAGATTTACTTTGGAGGATCCTGATTTATGTGAAAAACAAATTTTGTGAAATAAATTGTACTAATATTGATACTTGTGATTCTTGGGTGATATGACATGTGATATTATGTTTGAAACGAAAAAAATTGGTTTGAAAAAAATTTACGTCGTTACATTATCAAGATTGCTTGTTTGGTCCCCAACATTTGTTTTGCACTTTAATCGTCCTTATAGTATAATTTTGGTACGTCTTTGGTCCCTGCCAAATGTAAAAAACTATTTTACCCTTATGTCTAGGAAGTATGAACTAAGATGGTAGGAACAATTTAAAAAATGTATTTATTTTTCCATGTTTGCCCTTCGCAATATGCAAGTACAGCTACTCCTGTGTGTGGACTGTGTGGACAGAAACGAAATAGCAAGGTACTTTTGATAATTGTTCATCAACAAATCAATAAGCACCTTAAACCCTATGGAGATGGCATGAACAATAGACATAAATTAAGTATTGGACAGCCAAGCAGATCATCATCAGTTAGAATTTCACTAACATCACCAAAAAAATAATTGAACTTTCGAGACAGACCCAAAAAAGCAAGGTTTTGTTATTATTTTACAACATTAAACCCACTACCACAAGATATTATCCATCAATTTCCTACCTTGGTACACATTTGGCAGACATGGCCATTTCCAACAACAAAATAACCAAACCAAATTCGTATCAAATAACAACATACTTAGGAAATACCATTATATCCACGCCAATCAGCTATGAAAACCATGTACAATGATCAATTAACCACAAAAAACACAGATTAAAACCAAGAACAAGTAACTCAAAATGAAGAAATAAGTATTTTGATTCCATGGAATTAACAGATTCATTAAAAAATCTGGAACTCAATTTGCTAAGAATAGAGGAATTAATCAAGACGGAACATATTCACTAAAACAAAAATAAATTCTAGTTATCAATCATCCAAGAAGAATTAATTACCTTTTGATGAGGGCTTTTTGATATCAAGCAATCATAAATACAATTAGCCATGTTCTAGACCTACAGCAAAACTGATGCATGAAATCAAAGTCGAGAGACGAAGCATATATCTCGATTTGCAGAATATCAATTCCTGAAGACGGAATATTAGAGCTTGATCGAATGAGTATTGATGCTTGAAATCAATTTCTCGAATCGAAAAAATCCCTAAAATTAACTTTGGAAACTGAAAAGTCTCAAGCCGCTTTGAAACTGAGAATCTCATGGGAGAACTAAAATATAAAAAATAAATTAAAAATATAAAAAATATACCAAGAAAATAGGCAAAAAAAAGTTTGAACTCGAGTCTAATATTTCAAACTCTACAGCGCGCAAACCAACTCATCTACACACATCTTTATTTCTGTGTTGCATATTATAATATATATATATATATATATATATATATATATATATATATATATATATATCGAAATTCGGGGGCCCCAAAATTTGGCGAGGCCCGGGGCGGTCGCCCAGTTTGCCCTCCCTCTAGGGCCGGCCCTGCCCTTATTAAATTTAATTAAATAAAATATAGGCCCATTTTCAACCCGAACTACCCATCTCACATTTCCTTTTACCTGATGTACATCGATTTCCTTCCATATGTAAGATTTTGGGGTCTTAGAATATCAATTAACTTGGATAAATTATGGGATCGTGATTGCAATCACTTTCCAAAATCTGTGATTTCGACCCTTATGCTTGCGGTATCATGAGATCTGATTTGGGATAATCCAAGAGATACAATTTGGAAATCAGGCCACTTCCAAATCCGAAACATAGAAAAATATACATTGCTATTTTGTGTTTTTGGAGATAAAGAGAACTAGAAGTATGATTTGAGTAAGTTTTGTAACCTGTTTTCTGGAACAGGCAGTATGTTCTTATACAAGAGGGAAAAGTAGTTTGTGGTATTTACATGCAATTTTGGCGGCAAAACAAGTGGTTGGATATATAGTTATAAGACATAACCGATTCTGACATCACAGTGATGTCACCACTTATAATTGGCGGGAAATGCATGGTTGAAGCTTAACTCGTTATAAAAATCCGTTAGGCTTTTGGGGCGCTGCCCCTTGGAACCCCGCTAGGGGAAATACCCCTAGACCCCGCCAAGGGGCTACAACCCCATGGAACCCTGCACCCAGGGGCACTGCCCCCTGACCCCCGTATTCCTGAGTTCACATTTATCACAGCGAGTGTACACCTCGCACATCCAAGCTCGGTTAGTAAATGGAGTTCGGTCTATCTCATTATTAATAATAATTACACCAAAATATGTTAGTAACACTAAAATCACCAACACCATAGACCCTAGATCGACTACCGTCTCCCAACTCATTGATCTTTCTCTTTTTCTCTCAACTCATATTAGTGACAACTACAGGCCGCTGATTCCCAGCCAACGACAACCCTCTCTCAGCCATTATCGGCGACTACCATCTTATCAAATTATGGATTTTTTGGTTTGTTTTTGGGATTTCAACATATAGTTCAAAGGTCCAAAATGATTCCATGTTCGATTTGGGGAAATATGGTTTGTTTTGTGGTTTTTTAATTCGCCTTTAGGGTATTCAGGATTGTTTTCGTGTTTTTTCTTTGCCTTTGGGGAGATTTGGCCAATGATAATGAACTAAGATAGTGTCACCTTTTAACCTCAGGTTAAGTCTTACGTTTTGGGTTTTGATTTCTAGATTTGGTTTTGATTTCAGCTTAGATTAAGATTTCATGATTTCGGGATGTAACTTTGGTTAGGTTTTGATTTCGGGATTTGATCTTGGTCTAGTTTTGCTTTATGGGTTCATGTTTGATTTCTAGGATTTAATCATGAGGTGTCACATGATGAAATCGATGATGTGGGCGGTGGTGGTGCCATAATAGGTAGATGGTGATGGTGTTGTAATGGGTGGATGGTGGTTTCCGGTGACCGATGGTTGTTATGATGGAAGTGGAAGTAACCACACAGTGAAAGTAACCATAGTGGGTCTCACATGTCTATAAATCATTTAATTTTTTTTTAATTAATAAATAATAATAAAACTGAAAAATAAAAATAAAAAGGACACAATAGTCTCTTTATGTTTGGTAGGGACTAAAGACGTGATAAAATCATACTATAAAAACGACCCGAATATAAAACAAATACTAAGGACCAAAAATGTAATTTTAAGAAACCATATGACTTCAATAATTTATTCCTTTATCTTTTTAACAACTTGATATTTTCGCTAGGAGGCCGCCACCAATCACTTAAAAATCACACCTTTACAGCACGCCTCCACATCCTCCGCACGCCTATCAAAGGGAAAGAACAAACACTCATCAACCCCGCAAGGACGCCGTGAACGCTTAACCCAACGACGACAACCGCCTCCCCTGCCACCGCACAACGGAAATCCCATCGAAATCTGCAATCATTGAGTCCGATCGAAAGAGGAAGGAGCCTGTAGATCGGGCCGCTGCTGGAGATCATCGAAGTAAACACAAACACAACCACCACCACCACGACAAGAAGTCGAAAATGTCATCGTCTTCTTCGTCTGATAAAGTTAGGGCCTCGCACATACTGATAAAGCATGAAGGATCTCGGCGTAAGGCTTCGTGGAAGGATCCAGAAGGTCGAATCATCAGCAACACCACAAGAGACTCAGCTGTCTCCCAGCTCAAGACACTCCGCGATGACATAGTTTCGGGGAAGTCGAAGTTCGAGGATGTTGCATCTCGTTACTCCGATTGTAGCTCTGCTAAACGCGGAGGAGATCTCGGTATGTTCTAACCTTCTACCTTCTAGGGCTTTTTTTCATCATATAATTATGTGAAATTGAGTGGACCTTAGATGTTTAATAATTAGAATCATAAATATAGCTTTTTAAATGCTGAAAAACTGGTAATCCAGGAAAATTCTTAATGAGAATTCGTTGACACTACGATTAAACAGAATAAAGTAGCATAGAGGGCAACAAAGATAAATGTAATTCTCACCCAATTTGGTTAGATAGCTTAATTTTCAGTGAATGTATGACTCAATTCGTGAAATAAACTAGGATTCAAAAACTGCCAATGTATTGAATGTATGCTATTTCTTGTTTAGGATATGGAATTTCAGATTGAGTTTTTGACTTCTTTGTTTGCTTTCCCTCTGTGTTTTGTACCCTTTGCCATATATACCCTATATGAGTTTTGGTAATTGTTGAATTTCATATCTATGACTGAGTGATTGAAATTAGATGAAACATTGGTTGTTGCATAACTTTGATGCAGGTTCATTTGGAAGGAAGCAGATGCAGAAGCCATTTGAGGAAGCAACTTATGCATTGAAAGTGGGGGAGATAAGTGACATTGTGGATACTGATAGTGGTGTTCACATCATCAAAAGAACTGGTTAACCAAGACTCTGCATTATAACTAAGTGGTAAGACTCATCTAAACTTCTGTTGCTGTTTTTCCATCTGATTGGTCTTGAGATAATTCAGGTTTTCACCATTGATCTTACTCAGATTAGCATCTAAAATCATGAAGTTATTAACTATAAACATACAGCCATTTAGATGAAATTTGCTACTACAATCAAGTTCCAACATCTTCTTCAGATAAGCATAAATACATACATGATACAAGCAAATCTAGTCAAGTTGTACCACTTAATATAAACGTACAATTTATAGTTTTAAAAAATATCATATTCTAAGATATTAGTGAAAATGGTCATTATTTTGTTTGTTCCAACTTCTGATATATAAGTTTATTGGCTTACATTCCTTATCTAAATTTTATTCATTGTTCCAGGAAAAAAAACATGGGAATTTTCTGCGATAGAAGCAACTTAGATCTCGTGGGCCGAATGTAATAGATTGTAATCTGCATTTATCGACATATTTGACAGTTTATTTGTTTGCATTCCTGAATATTTATGTTGGATTTTATGTTTTAAGAGGAGTCAATAATTGCATGGAAAAAATATATTAGTTTGATTAGTTGGATATGTTCCTAAGAAAAATATATCACCCACAGGTGTTGCACACAGGAAAATAAATTATGTCTCTAAAATTGTGTAGAGTAAATATTGAAATATGTTGGAGTTTGTGTTGATGGAAGTACCAACCTGTAAATAAGGTGTTTGCAATTAGTTTCAGCATAAAGAAAGTTGGGTTGGGTTTTGTATAGTTGAAATGACAATATTCTTTATTGATTTGTCTATTATAGCAAGATTGTTGGAATAATCCACAAAATTAAAATAATTCTAAATTGGTAGATTTTCCTAACTATAAATAAAGTCATAATAAGAAAAATCTTGATTCCAACGGCTTTCCCTGCGACTCTTTTCCTTCTTCATTCCAACGTCTTGTAATGACTCTTTTCATTCTTCAATCCAACGGCTAGATTACAAGGGTTTTTTTTTTTTTTTTTTTTTTTTAAATCAACTACTATAAATACTATACTATCTAATACTCATTTCATACAAACACTACACTTTCTATTACTCATTTCACACGAAGACTACACTTTCTACTACCAAAATGAATCCAAACAATTTCCCACCAATCTCACCTCAAGATCCGACCGAAACAAATTGTGTGCAAGTGGTTCTACAACACTGGGTTGAAGTGTTCTCATTTTCGATTCATCGGTTTACCGATCACAACTTGATACCCCTATATTTTCACCATACCAAACCCTTACTCCAACACCTACTCCAACACAACAGTTTCACAAGCAACAAATACCACAAAATTACTCTATGTCACCCTTTAGCCCAATCTTCTTCCAGAAAAAATCCCCTCTCCCCGAATACGTTCCAGGGAGCCAACATTCGACCGAGCCGAAAGTTGAATTGTTTGGGAAACACAACCCGAATCCGGACTTGAACTCGTACCATCCGATCCCAAAGGAAGAGGAAAGGGGAAAGCGACAACTAAAAAAAGAAAACAATGGACATTGGAAGAAGAGAAACTATTGGCGGGATCAAGGGTTGAGATTTTTCGAGGATCTCGAGAACGAAAATATGCAAGCGTACGGACATTTTTGGTGACACATTACAGAGCGGTTTTTCAACGAAATTGGTCGTGACAGGTATCGGACAGAACACCAATGTACGACCAAGTTTCGTGAAATCAACAAGACGGTTACAAAGTTCAACTGGACGTACAACAACTTGACGAGCCAAAGAAAAAACTAACAAAACAATACATATATTTTCGAGATGGCGCTTGAAATATTTAAAATCGACAATAATGGGAGGCCGTTAAATTTTGTCGACGTCTAGAAGTTTTTATCCGATCACCAAAAAATCCAAAGATGTTTATGAAAACAGAGAATAAAGTGGTTCAAAAAGAACTAAAATTTCCGAAACGAGTTATACAACTTCATAAGATGCTCGTTTCAGGTTGTCTTGAACAAAGATGATGAGTTTGAGCTCGAAGAGATAGTCAACACGATTGGTAGAGATAAGGCAAAACGAGAGGGGTTTCGTCTAATGCATTAGGATCCAACAAAAATGGTTACCTACGCAAGGTGACAAGTAGCTTCGAAATATATAAATTTGAATTTCTAAAGTCATTAGCAATTGTAAAATGAGAAATTGACCGAACAAAGAAAAGCTTGGGTGGAACAGCAAAAACCACGAGAAAATTATAGATATGAAAATTTTAACACAAAACATCGACCATCTTTCCAGAGATGAACTTGTGATGGTTTTGATGACAATAGAGAAAATTATGAATAAATATTTAAGTAGACTTGTTTTATGTTGTTTTTAATTAATGGTCGTTTTTTACTATGTAATGATTTTGATTATTAAATTAATGAAATACTTCTCTTTTATTATTTTAAATATTTTGAAAATTATTAAAATGTAATTTCTATATTTAAAATAAAAAGACAGTAAAAAGTGACAATTTTATATCAGTAAGTGAAATGGAAAAATACATATTACAAAAAAAAAATAAGATATGATAAAATGGTACATCCATAATCCTAAATGTTCATTTTGAACATTTATTCTTAGTCGCATTCATACTATATTAAAGAAATCATAGTATTTATATTTATGTAGCATTTTTAAAACTAAATTCATAAAATATGTAAAAACATTTGAATCATATAAAATAGTGTATTAAATTTTGACTCCGGATATTATGATTTTGTTGAGCCATCCCCAAAGGGATAGGAGGTCAATTGGGAGTTTAATGAGCAAAAGAATAATCCAATAAACTCAACATTTTAAATGGAGCTCAATGAATGTTCATTCAATGGTGGTATAAGATATATTTTATTATTATTATTATTATTATTATTATTATTTACCCAATTTAATATAACCGTATGTATAGAAAGTTAATATTTGATTTTTTTTTCATAAACAAATTATATATTATTATTTTTTGATTTATACTATATTTATAATTTATTTTATTTGATATTCAATAATTTAATTTATATTTTTTTATTCTAAACAATAAAAAAATATAAAAATCTTAAACATATTTTAAAACGATAACATCTTTTTTATTATAATAATACATATTTTAATTTGTATTTAATGTAGTATTCATAACTTTTAATTTCTAACTTGTAATGTTTATTGACTTTTTGTAATTTGCAATTTTTAATTTGTAAATTAATGTAATATTTTAGTTTTATTTCAGGATATTATTTATAAATCAGATATAATAAAATGTTGATGTGGAAATCTATTGAATTCTTAAAAGTTTAATAGAATGTAAAATTTAATAGGTAAAATGATATAGTTAGTGAAATGTTGATGTGACAATTCATTGAATTCTTAAGAGTTCAATGCATTGGAGATAGCCTTAACATAACTATATTTATATCTATCTCATATTTTATAAAGTTTTTATATTATATAATTATTAAATTTTAAATTCATAGTTTTTTATTCGATAATCTTATCAACACAACGTCATCTAAGCCAAAAACATCAACAAAACAATAAAAAAAATTATACGACATTATTGTTAAAGTTAGAAGAACGATCTTAGTGAAAAAAAAATCATAATTAAAGGACGATCAAACAAAACAAATACTTATTTTCCATCATGTTGACAAATCACACCAATAGATAATCTATAAATCATTATTTTTTATTACTTTATTCTCCTTTCAAATGAACACACATTGTAAGATTTCAAAAACTAAAAAACCTAACTCAATCACATTAGGAATCAAGGGAGATCAAATAGAGCTAATATATTTTTACCATAGTCAAACCAATAGAGAAAATAATTCATCATTATTTTTATTTTGAAAAAAATCTAAAAAAAAAGGCAAGAACAAAACACTTTTCCTTAATATAGTTAAATTCATTCATGATTCATATCGAATCAATGAGCAATGAAGGCATAAAACACTAAAATAAGATAATCGAGAGTAATGTGAGAACTTTGTATTTGAACAAAAATGATTGGAATAAACTTAATTGAACATTTGCAAGATCATTTTTCTTGTTCCAAATCATTTGTCTTGACTTGGAATTCCTAAGAAATCTCCGACCAGTTTAGAATCAAATCAATATGGTTTAACGTATCAACTTATCTCTAATCATATTATTTTGGAACACCTCTATTATAAACATATACTAGCCGAATATCGATACATTGTGCAAAAACTATATATATATATATATATATATATATATATATATATATATATATATAATTAAAATTTGACAAATACATGTTGAAAATAATTATGTTATTCATACACCAATTTGTTATATAAACTTATAATGCTTTTCAACCATATTATAACATCTATTAAAATCATATCGCTTAATGGACATTACTCGCGATTGACATGTAAATACAAGTAAATACGATTATCGATTTAGTGTTACTTTTAAGAGAAAATTGCAAATTTAGCTAAAAAGGTTAATTACTTTGTGGAAAATAGCCAAAAAAAACTTAAATTGCATTTTTAGCCACCAAAATCGTAGATGGATTAAGCTCATCTACGATTTTGGCAAGCCATCTGCGAACGTACAAGTCGCTAAAACACGTCTGTGCTTTAGCGACTTGTACGTTCGCAAATAGTTTTTTTTTCTTGATGTATAAATACCTCCTACACACCCTTAAAATCGCAGAT